AAAGATACACTATGTTCTCTTCATCCTCTGCACTACTTCCCAACCTGGGTACACGAAGTACTGGCACATGATGTCATTTTCAACACCTTGTCCTCACACAGCCTCTCCTGCAGCAGCAGCACCACCACCAGCCTCCTCGAGGTGGCGCTGTTGCCACCACGACTCGTCGTCTGCTGGTTGTAGGCCACCAAAAAGTAGAGAACCGTGACGTTGCAGAAAGGGGGCAGTCCGTGGTCAGAAGTCTGCGCTCCCATTCATGCGGAGTGTCTAAACGCCAGCAGTCCGCGCCGACATCCTCGTCAAAACACCAAACTCTGCTCGCTCCGGCTGACAGAAAGCGTCGGTGAGTGATCCTACTTCTGTTTTATTTACTCCCATCGTGATCTTCTGGGTTTTTCTTCTGTGTCTGTCTGCTGTTGGGAAGTAGGTGTGCAAATGTAGCTGTAGGCGATTTGGAGAGAAGAAGAAGGAAAAAAAACCAGCCTCGACAACCATCTGAAATGTGGCTGCGCGCTGCTAGAAGTCAGGTTGTTGTGTTTCCTCGTCGGGCTGCAGAGCTGAGCTGTGGTTACATGATGTCCTCAAGCTTTCCTGAAGCTTCGCATTTAGACAGAAAGCTTGTGGCCTGTAGCAGCCAGCAACCGTAGCTTCAATATTTACAATTTAAAAAAAAGAGAAGTAAACCTGGACTGCGCTCAGCTGCGTTTAAATTAATATATGCTTTTTTTTTTTGGGGACAGTCTCACCTGTTCTGACTTGACTTTGCTGTGTTTTGATCTGGAGGCTTTAATTGCTGACCTGAATGTAGGCAAAAGTCCAAGTAAAGGTCATTCATTGGCAGCCACTTGGAAAGCTCCATTACAGCACATTTGTTGTTGGGTAATACCGCAGTATAGAATAATAACAGCACCGAACAGTTCAGTTTTATGTGTGATTGCTGCAATAAATACATTTAGAGAAGCCAGGTGTGTTGTGAAGTCACCTGCCCTGTGAAGGTCAGGAAAAACTGCCCCATGGTGTCCTAACTGGAGGAGCATGGTTGGATTTTTTTTACACGAGGCTGGGGTATTTTCTGATTATTTGCCCACCATGGGGGGTGCACACCGGTGACCCCGTTTCACACAGACCACGTGGGCAGGACACTTGATATAATACCAGACGCGTTAACCTATATGTTGGTCTGGGTGTGAATCAGAGGCTTGCATGGTGTAAATATGATGCCTCCAGTTGGATTATGTGTGTTTTTGCAGTCATGATCATAATATGGGAGGAGAGTGATTACTTGACGCTGCATGGAGGTTTTCTATCTGCTCTGAAACAAGGAAATAGACAAAAAAAGCGGATATAAGAGGGCTAAATGTAACAGTAGGTGTCCTGTAGCTTCACTCTAAGCCCGTCTGTGTGTGTCCGCGGCCGTGCAGCGGTGTGTGTTGCCGGTTTTGCCCGGTATCTAAGCGGCGCAGCGCTGCGACCTTTCCCCTAGTTTCTGCAGCACAGGGTGGATCATGTGATGCTGGAAAGTAGCTCTGGGGGAAGGGACTGGCTGCTCAAACACTGCTCTGTGGATGCTGCTGCTGCTGCTGCTTCCTTCCGAGGACTGCAAACGTAGACACGACGTGTCTGGCTTCCAGAGTGCTCTTTTTCAGTAAAATAAAAAACGCAGCCTGCAGAAAGAAGAAGGCTTTGTTGTTTTTTTGTTTAGTTGGGAAGCAGAGAAATGCACCAGCAGCTCTGTCTCTTGTCAAATGCAGGCTAGGCTAAGTTGATTATAGATGAAGATGTGTTTTCTGGACCTCTAAAAATGCTAAATGTGCTTTACAGTGTGTGGGCTTTTAATCCTTAACACATTCATTTGTTCTATTTGGATTTTCATATCATATCCCGAGAGGGATTTCCAAAATTATCCTGAAGAATTCCTCATCGATATCTAATAAAATACCCCTAAACATATGACTGTGACATATCAAACTCATCATGGAGCCATTCAAGTTACTCTTGCATAAGAAATGATTAAATCTATTCAGTACTCACCGATCAGCCACAACAATAAAACCACTGATGGAGGAATGAATGAAATTGATTATCTTATCTCTACAATGCAGTGTTTTCCTGCAAATCTAAGGTCCCACCATTCATGTGCATGTTACTTTGACACATACCATCCTCTCTGATCAATGCTGCTGACTCAGCACAGCCCCTCCCCCAGCAGGACCGGCGTGTCCCACCACTCTGCAAAAAGCAGCTCGAGGAGCACAGCAAAAAGTCAAAACTCCCCAGATCCCGTTTTAGTTGAGCATTTAGATCCACGTAGCATCTGAAGGAGGACCCCCAGACACCACAGGACCCCCCTGAGGGACCACGTTCAGCCCCCAGAGCATCAGAGCTTTTATTTACAATAGAAGCCAGGTGGCTTTAATGTTGTGGCTGTGTGGTTAAGACCTCTGCAACGCTAACTACTGATCCCCTGCTGCTCAGTAAAACAAATGCCTACAAGATCCTAATAGTAGGTACCCTACGAAGGCATGACCAACAAGAAAAACACTGTCTTAGATACCTAATAAGCAAAATATGGACAAGCTTCACTTGGCAAAACACAGGTTTTTGAGGTTACTGCACAGAGCTTCCTGTTATTGAGACGTTTTGTATGAAGACGTATTCCACCGCTGTAAATGTCAGAAAACAAGCCGTGTCTAAGCATCAGTTCTCTGACAGTAAAGGAGGAGATGCCACACCTGCCTAACCTGTTTCCAAGATGGGACACAAAGCAGTCGATTCCCAGCGCATCGCTTTTGGTGTCATCTTGCAGGAACCGGTTTCGTCGATGTAATTAGCACATATAGAAACTTGCACATCAAGCTGATTTCTTTATCTGTTCCAAATTACTTACTAAAAAAAGACGTGCAGTTTTTTTGTTATTAATGCACTGCTGATGGTTAATCATTCGATATTTCCTAATGCTGGAAAAACAGCTAGGTGTGGTCAGATTTGTGCTTTGCTTGTTCTTTGGCTTTGTGATGTTTTTATAAATATTGTGCTGTCTCATGTGATGGCTCAGTCAAGTGACTCTGCTCCAGTTCTGTGCGTGACTGGTCCTTGATTGAATCTGTAAAAATGTTGCCTGTAAACCTCCAAACTGTGAGTAAGTGCGCAGTTTCCCCATGCAACTCCGTCTTAACCCTGATGTTGTTCTGAAAATCCAATAAGAATCCGATCGCGCCGGGTAACCGATCCCGACAGAGAGCTCCTTAAACTCGTTACATCTCAGAAATTAGGTAACCAGCAGTGTTTTCGAGGAATAAGGTACTGCTGATTTCAAGGAACTGTGCCATCTTTCATTAGTATGAGGGAGTGTTTTTAAATTTAGTTATTTACAGCCTTATTCAGGTATCAGCTCCTATCAGTGGATGTTACTTTTTGCTGATCATTCCTGCATTCATGTTAACTTTAGGATCACTTTGCCAGACGGTGATGGCGTGAATATAAAGTGAGAAAAGATTAAAAGAACAAGAAATAAGAAGATGTTTGTTGTAATCTCCTATGTAGCTTTGACCTCTTAAAAACTTCCACTTCACTAATATTGCTAACCTGTGCTCTCCGTCCCTTCAGTGACCCTGCACAGTCGCAGCCACCATGGCAGAAGCTCACCAGGCGGTGGCCTTTCAGTTCACTGTCACCCCTGATGGCATCGACCTCCAGTTGTGCCACGAGGCTCTACGCCAGATCTACCTTTCCGGCCTTCACTCCTGGAAGAAAAGGTTCATTCGCTTTAAGGTGAGAGGTCTTTTCGTTTAGAAGAGCAAAGTCCGGAGGGTTCCTGTGAAGTAAAGAGGAACTTTTTTTGAGCTTTTTATCTTTTTTGTTGTTTGCTATTCAAGTTTCACAACAGCACGGGTGTTGGGTTGATTCTTATGTAAGTATTTATTTTTAAAGTTAATAAACATCATAAGAGTGACGGTGTGCTTTTATTTACTGATTGATGCCCTACTGTAAATCTGTTCACGGGGGGTCACATTAACTCGCTCGCACCAGAAGGTCACCTACTCTGACACAAACGGCCAACTGTGACAGTGACCTTCCTGTCTCTTCTTTCTGTCCTAGCCTTTGGCCTAGTTGTGTGTTTACGCACAGTCACACTGAGTCACTCAAACCCAACGACCTGCCAGCATTTTCACACATTCCTCTTTTGTTTATTGTCTGTAATTAACAATCACTCGCGTGTATCTTCGCGTCCCGAGACGGCGTGCGATGAAGTGTTTTATAAGCTATCCTCAGGGGGGGTTCTTTTCTCTCCGTGTCCTTGAATGACCTTTCTAATCCTCCGTTTGGTTTGTGTTTCCACAGAATGGGGTAATGACTGGTGTGTACCCGGGCAGCCCGGCCGGCTTCATGGTAGTGGTGGTGTCCTACATGTCATACAATAAATATAGAGAGCTGGATCCATCTCTTGGGCTGATTGCCAAGCTGGGACAACACATACCCATCAGGTAAGCTCACTGATGTCGTGGAGTGCTGTCACACGGTGTTTGTGTTGTTTTTTTCCCCCCTGTTTTGTCTAAGTTAAGATTAAAGCCTATAAAACAAGCTTTAATTGTTTATGAATTGACACAGAGGTAATAAGGAAGCACCTGAACTAGAACAGTGGGAACTAGCCAGGTTCTGTATTTGGTTAGCCACAATAACAGACATATAGTTAAAAATCTAGAATGCATAGCAGTCTTTCTACTACAGTGCCTTCTTCGGTGCCAGCTCAGTTTATTCTCCTACATAACATTTGTTCCAAGCGCCCACCACGCCCACGCATTTTAATGTTTGCTAACAGTGTTTATCGTGTTTAATGGTATTGTGCAAACACTCGCTGTCCTCATGAAGCAGTTATCTTATCAAAAACGCTGGGGATTTTCCCCTCAATAGTTGTGCCGCCAACAGCGCCCTTGCCTTGAGGTTACTGCCTCGACGAACGTCTGTATGTTCAGCGCAAACGCATTTAAGGTCGGAAAACCTGTTGGACTTAAAAGGCCACGCAGCCTCCATAAAATGCATCATCAGTAAGCCGAGCAATAAAGGTCCAAGACTTCACTGTTGACAGTTAATTACTCATAATGGGTGATTTAACGCTGCCAAGATAAATGACATTAAATGCGTTGTTAATCCATCATGGTGTCATCTGTTCGTCTTTGTTGACTTTGCGCTGGGTCGAGTCTTCCGTGTGACATTCTTTCATCTGGTGTTTGATCAAGCTTCAAAATGAAATGGCCCATGTTAATAGTTTAAACACCATATTCGTTCAGTCAGATTGCTTTTTTACTGCAAGCATATTTAGTTTTGTGTAAGTCGCATTCATTACAATCCACCGTACTTGTGTCCGCTGTACAGTTACATGAGTTTATTTGTTTATATTGTACCCTCCTCTCTTTTTTTTTTTTTTTCCACAGTCGATACATGTCCACAGACAGCCAGAAGATTGTTGGAGGAGTTCTGGTGGGCACAGGCCTGTGGGTCACCATTATCATGATCATGAGGAATGTCCTGAAGTCGCTGCTGTCGTGGCACGGCTGGATGCATGCACGCCACGGCTCCGTGTCGTGGTCGACTCGTGTGTGGATGGTGAGGATGGTCAATGTGCTCCTCTGTTCAGTTCACTGAAAAGCAGCTAAATAGTGGACTGTCGTAGTGGCATTCCTACTCAGATGAATAAAAGATGCAGTTCTGGCCACTGCATTCTTTAGTGCTCGTAAGGAGCTTGGTGGAGACAAATTTATGAGAGACAAAAGTTGGAACAAACATCTGTTTAACTTACGGCTTTGCTAACAGTGCCTTTAGGGTTCCTGTATGAGTAAATAGTCTTAGTCAAACATGGTCAACTTTTTACACCATACAGCTGAACTGCATTTGAATTATGATGCATTGTTGTACTCTTATGCATTTGTTTCACTTGTAAGTTGAATTTGATGTGCATAAGTGGAAGCCTGTTTTGCAGTGTTGTAGCTATATATTTTTAAGATTCAACAATTCCAGGTGAAAACTCAGAATTGAGGTGACTCTATTATGTCAGAAGGGTCTAGTCATTGATCCACTATAACTCTAATGTGAATGCTGCATTAACCCTGAACCCCAAAACCCACCGGTGGGTTCGACAGCCATGTTGTCTTTAAAAGAATTGCCACAATTCCACAAATGATCTAAACCAGAAACCGTAAAAAACAAAAAGCAATTGTTGGCTTTGAACTGTTTGAACTGTGACATGCAGTTTCATCAGAACACTTAACCAAGTCTAAGCTTAAAACTAATTAAAATCACATTATTCTACATGTCTCGTTTAAAAATTCACCAACATCAAAAAAAAAAGAAGATTTTTCGATCCTTTGGTGCAACCATGAAGCTGTTGGTGATTAGCCGCAGCCAACAAACATGAAAAAAATTCAGGAACCTTTTAGCTGAACTGTTTGCACCAGTTTGTGAGGGTAGAGGTCTGCTTATAGCCAGTGAAAAATTAGTAAAAAATTAGTGAGTAAAAATGTAACCGGTGTGAGTAATGGCAGAAACTACTCGGGGTTCAGAGGTGTAAATGTCCTACTTTGGTCTTTTTTGAGTTCCTCTCCTGCCCTCTGCCTCATACCTTGCAGATTACCAAATGAAACAAAAACATAACCTTAAATTCCCTTTGTCCTGATGTGTTTTGTTTGTCCAGTTGCTAGTGAAGGTGTTCTCTGGCAGGAAGCCAATGCTCTACAGTTTCCAGAACTCCCTGCCTCGACTACCTGTTCCCTCTGTCAAGGACACCTGCAGAAGGGTAATTTCCACGTGTCATTTCCTGTCGGATTCTTTGTGCTCGTTTATGATCGTTAATAATGATCTTAGGCTTTGGACTGGCACCAAAGTTTGTATTATGAGGAAAATTGGAGAAGACGGCGCGAGCTAAAAATTAAACCAGCTGAGATAAAGGCCATTTAAAACGATTAAACAGCATCTAAACGCTTATCTCTGGCTGTCACACAACCTAGTGAATGGCTCTGTTTGTCTTGTAAACATGTACTTCCCTGAAGCAAACACAAAACTATTTCTGCTCTCTTTCTGTTTAAAACTGTTGACCCTTTGTGGCTCTGCATTTCTCTGCGTTTCCAGTACCTGGAGTCGGTGCGCCCACTGATGGACGACGAGCAGTTTGAAAGGATGAAGGGCTTGGCTAAAGACTTTGAAAAGAATCTGGGACCAAGGCTGCAGTGGTACCTCAAACTCAAGTCCTGGTGGGCATCCAACTATGTGAGTTAGAAAGAATCCCTCTGGCCTCCTCCTCCTCCTCCTTTCTCTCTTCTTACGTCACAGTTTTGGACACTTTCCTGGATCTTGATTCAGCTTCAGCCTGAAAAGCAGCGTCTCTAATAATGCCTCTCTGTTCCGTTCTCTTTGTCCGGACCAGGTCAGCGACTGGTGGGAAGAGTATATCTACCTGAGAGGCCGTGGACCCATCATGGTCAACAGCAACTACTATGCCATGGTAAAACATCTCTACCTGAGTATCTGTCTGCAAACAATGTCTTTTGTTTAAAGATTAAGCGGTAAGCGTTGCTGTGCCGGCCTGTGTAGTGCCGTTTGTGACACCAGAGTAGTTTTCCAAATGGTCTTGTGAAGGTGACCCTTTTTACTACACAGCTGTGGAAAGTTGTGACTGACTTACAGAGGCGTGTTTCTTTTAATTATTAACTCCTTATTAATCTTTGAGTCTCTGTTCAGTAGAGCTGCAGACTGACCTTTGGTACCTCCACACATGCCATTTACTTCCAAGTGACACAACTTGAGCCTATACCTGCAACAAAACCCCACCAGGCTACATAAATTGAGTTTATTCTAACAACATTTAAAGCTTCTCCCTACAACTGAACTTCCTAAAATTTAACTCAACTTTCTTTCTGAATGTTGTGCCACATTTTTGTTGCTGTAAAAACTTAATTTAGCCTTTTCCTCAGAGTATTTTTTATAATGTAGCCCAACTCTAGTCCATAGATTATTATAGTTTAGGGTTGCAAATGTTTTTCTAAGTCAGATAAGGACACCCGCGTGGTGACAAAAGCCCCATGCGTCGAAATATCCTTTATGATGGTGTCCCAGGGGAGCTCATTACAGCTACAGTCTTGGGATTGTCAGCGTCTTGGCCTGCGGAGCTACAATTACAGTATTACAATGAGTCTTTACTTTGCGGACGGTTTGATTGCTTCAAATCAGTGACAGATTTATGATCACCAACCCAGTGAACTCAGCAGGACGACTAGCCACAGCTCACTGCCTGCCAAGCCTCCTCTCTTTTTGTGTGTTTCTGCCTGAATGAGTGAGAAAGTCTCGTCGGTGCCGCTTTGTGGCCTGTTGTCAGGCAGATTTTGAAAATGCGACATTGTTATGAAGGTTTTTATCTTGTACAAAAGTGGTTCCCTGCTCTTGCAAGTCATATCACGAAAACCCTTAAAGGAATTGGTATGGAGGTCAATGGAACAACACTCTGCATGCTTGAAATAACAGGTCACGATAGCTGCTGTTCGTATGCATAAAGTCCTTGACCGAAATAACTACAACGAATCAATGCACAGATCACACGGGGGGTGTTGTTCTGCCATAGTTTAAGGTTTGTGCCGTCTGCGTCACAGTTTGACGTATGACTCTGATGGCTTAAACCCCATTACCATGTCCTCAGACACTTCGGTTCAGACAGTGTGGCCCAATCGAGTCACACTTTCAGCTGTGAAGGGCACTCCTGATTAAGGGGGAGGGTATAAAAAAAAGAAGACACACAATTGGACGCCCTCACCGGAAACGTCACCATGGCAACGGTCAAACGCACCGCTCGCATCCGCAGACTGATGAGCTGCTTTGTTTTGTCCACTAATCAAATAATATCCAAAACCACGAGAACGACATGAGCTAAATCCGATAATTATTTATGCATGTAGGAATTTGTGGGTCGGCAACAAGTCAACCAGTGTCAGGGACAGATCAGTTATCTCCCTTTTCTGGGGATCTTTTAACTTAACTTGGTTGCTGTAGCCTGTCGAAGTAACACAAACTGCTGTAGACGTCACTGTTTCTGAGGTTTAACTTCTTAAACACGAGTCTACAGACAGATTTATATGGTGTAGATCATTATATTATTGTCTAATCTGTCACACCTTTTACCACCACATGGGTAAATGTATATAGTCGTGTAATTATAATAGAACATGTCACTTCTTTCTCAGTTCCTTTTGATGACTGATTATCTGACTAACAAAACAACCAGTTGTTAGTTGATGTGCTGCCACGGGGCCTTCAAGGACAAGTAACAGAAACAAATAGTCATATATGTACTGTCAGCCAATTCCTACCAAGTTTGGCTGTAACCATGTTTGGTTATTATTGATTATTGATGACTGTAGTTGGGTAAATACAAACAAAGTAGTAAATGTGTATGGTATGACTCACATTTCTAGAATAATATTACCTAATAAACCGGTCAGCTATGACAAGAGAGAGTACACACGATAAGGTGTTCAGATAAGAAACTTGGCCCAGGGTTGGGTTCCCGCTTATTGTGACTCACTGGCGGAAACTAAATTCATTCATGCTGATGTTAAATCATTTGCACTATAATCCATTTTTTCTAATGGCTTGCCATTCTCTACAAATGGTGACTTTTCTCTATATCGAGTTTGCGTTTTGTACCAACATGCAGCTCAGCACAGCAGTCTGACAACCAAAATCCACGAATACGACCAAAACACTTAGTTAATGTTTACACAGCATCACAATATGTATCCCTGTTGAGGTATATTTTTTTTTTTATTTATATTTTTGTCTTTTGCATGAGCTAATATTCATTTAAAATGTCAAGAATGGTCCTTCTTAGAACTGATTGTGATGACAGTGATAATTCTGTTGCCCCAGTCTGTTTTGTCCGGACAGTGAACCAGTTGGAAGACACTGATTATTAAATTTTTACTCTTGTTTCTCCTCCTTTTGTCCAGGATTTCCTGTACGTGTTCCCTACCTCCATCCAGGCTGCCAGGGCAGGTAATGCCATCCATGCTATCATGGTCTACAGGAGGAAACTGGACAGAGCTCAGATCAAACCAGTGAGTATGGAGCTCCTCTGTCTTCCAATCATTCTGTTCAGTCTACATACAATGTGCAAGCTTCAACAGGGCTCCAGATTGTGATCATTTTGCATGTAGCGCGAAGTCAGAGCCAGCCTTTTAAAAGTGCTCAATCTGTGTGGCAGTCTGACGTGTATCTATTGTAGTACGAACAGAGCCGAAATGTGTTCAAAGTCCCCATCGGTAAACAAAAAGGACTTGGCCTTTAACCCGTCTCGTTTCATAATCCAGTTGTAAACGCTGTTGATACTGATACCATGCCTTAGCAAAACCATGTGAGCCGTCACATCACTTTTGGTTTGGAAACGGGTCAGCAAATAGCTTCGTCTGGGAGGTTCAGACCAGTAGCCCTCGGTAGACCTTGCCCCCAGCTCGACACCCATCGTCCATGTAACCTGGTCGTAGCTCTTTTGGACTCGGGCAGCTACGTAGTGATTTGTTATGTCACAAAATAAACAGACATCACCTCCAAAAGAAAAATTGTGTCACGGTGTCAGTGTCGATGTAAAAATGTCACCTGGAGCCCTGTTTAATATGAATTATATGAGTGCATATTTGACCACATTAGGCTTATGTAAATGTTTAGCCTTCTCTGTTATACTTTACTAAATAATAGATTCTATCTCAGTGTGATTATCTTTTAAGTTTACAAAGAGAGCTGCGTATCTTTTACAACATTTTCTTACGTGCTTTGAAGTGAGTTTGTTATCCACAATCTAACTGATGATTATGTACGTGTTGATATGAACCTCAGCTCATTCACTTTGTGAACTAACTCTGACGCACTCTGCTTTTTGCTTGTGCTGATGGAAGTACAGCTCAGCTTTCTCAAGGCTTAGTCAATAAGCCTCAATGATTGCTGGTGATTTAACTGACACGCTGTGGTGTCATCTTTTCCCGCACCTCTGTCAGTCCTTTGTCTTTACCAACCTGCATGATGCTGAAGTGCAAATCCTTATGACATTTGCACACGACAATATGTTGTGCAAATGCGCACTGTTGCAAAAAAAAAACAAACGATTGTATGCATTTCTACCAACACCAATGCATGAGCTCGCTCTGTTACAGACTCACATTCAGTTGTTTCTGTTTTACTGTTTTGTCCTTTCGCTGTGTCGGACGCTGCGTTAGATTTACTTGCTGGCGAACAAGGTTCCTCTGTGTTCGGCTCAGTGGGAGCGAATGTTTAACACCTCACGTGTCCCTGGTGTGGAGACAGGTAAGACGAGGGCACATCTCCGCCGTGCCCTCTGATCCTTCTACCCCGTGACCCTAGTCATCGCTACGGCAACATCCCTCGGAAACCCTGACTCCTATTCTCATTGTCAACAGCACAGCCCTGAAACAGTCCTATTGGCTTTCACAGATAGCAGTATTCACATTAGTTTAAATGATTTATTGGTCGCAAAATATCCTAAAAGCATCTACATTTTAGTTCAAATCCACCTGTTGCATCAGGGCTTTGCTGGTGGCGTTGAGATAGCTGGCCACTGGTTTCTGGACCCTGCTCTCTCTTTCCCTGGCAGCCTTCTGAGGTCCCTCCTTCCTCCTTAAGACTGCTTATCAAACCAATCCTCATCACTCCCACTCCATCCATGCTCCTGTCCATGTAGGTGTGTGTGTCTGCTACTGCTGCTCTCTGGGGTTTTTTTAGTGAATTAGTTTGTCATCTCTGTGTTTGACTCTCCCCTTTTGCTTTTCAGCTCATGCTCCTACACACTATTCCCATGTGCTCAGCCCAATACGAGCGTATGTTCAACACGAGTCGTGTCCCAGGTGTAGACACAGGTAGAGTCTTTAGCAGTGCCGCCTCCTCCACACTACTCCTACTGTGCTTCTCCTTGGGGCGTTTTTGTCCGTTTGTTTGAATTAGAACGATTCTGACCTCCAGTATTTATTAATGCATGTGTGCTGGTCTTCAAGGACTAATTCGCATGTGACTGAAATCTAGTTTCTGAGAAGGCAAACCAGTGACTGTATTAAGGTAAGACCTGGAGATGCCAAACAGTGTTATTATGCTCACCTGAATACACAAGATAACAGTAAACATATATTCATTAAGGGATTTTTTTATGTGTGTGTACGATGGAGCTTGACTAAAATACTAGTATAGCTTTTATTCCTGCAATGGTGCTCTTGAGGATATAAAATGAACAAATGAGAGGATATGAAGCCATTTCACTGCAGAAATCTTATGATATACTCGTTTAAAGTGACTCAAACAAGAACTGTGCTGAAGCAGGATTAGACGCCGTTGTTGAGGAACTGTGTAGAGGACACCTAATGCATGAGCAGTCCTATAATAAGACAAGGATCAGTTTACTGTTGAGGACTGAATACTCGGAAAGAAGACCTTGAAATGTGATTTCATCTAAACGAGTGACAAAATGTGCAACTTAAACAGACTTTGCTGTTGGAGAGAACAAAAATATGATAATAAATTTATAACATACAGATGTTAGAATATGAATTTGAGGTTCATCTATCAGGTTATATTAGGATTTTATTTATAGGTGACAAGCTGGGAGCTGCTGAGTTTATTTATGCAAACATTGGGCCCGTATTCTTATTTCTGGAGGTTTCCGTGCTATAAGTAAGCAAAGTATCATCTGGATGTGAGGTTTTGTTGTTTGTCTTGTTCCTAGCGTAAGTATTTCCTCCTCTGCCTCGCCTGTAACAAGGTCAATGTTTGTTTGAACAGAATATCACCAAAACAATATTCTAACTTTGTTCTGAAGGTACCATGCTAACAAAGCGTTTGAAGTGATTTCTATTGGTTTCGCAAAATGCTGCTCAAACAAACATTGTCTTAGTTCATTGTATTCCCGACCATTTCCCTGTTCCCAAATTACTTTCCCTTTTCATCTCACTTCCTGCACTTCCCCATTTCAAGCTGCTTTAGTTTTTGAACTGGATTAGCTTCAACCAGTACAGTACATGTCTTCAATTGGAAAAAAGAAAAGTGCTTTTAATGTGTGGATATCACATCATTTCACTGGACAGGCAATGAACTAACACCTGTAGCGTACTCAGGAGTAAAATGATGTGACATCCGCGCTACATTCAAAACTTGCAATTTTAATTCATCAATTGCAGTTTGACGTTGCACCAAGATACATGTACAGACACATAGATAGACTCTCCTTGATGCCAACCCCAACATTTGTCCAAATACCTTGTTTGTTTTCCTATTTTTCCTCCCTGCTCACCTTGGTCCGTCTCCCCCAGACACCCTTCAGCACATGAACGAGAGCAAACACATAGCCGTGTACCACAAGGGCCGCTACTACAAGGTGTGGATGTTCTACGATGGCCGGCTGCTGTTGCCACGGGAGATAGAGCAGCAGATGGAGAGGATTTTGGCCGACACGTCGGAGCCCTCGCCGGGAGAGGAGAAGCTCGCCGCGCTTACTGCAGGGGAAAGGTCAGTGGCATCGCAGAATTAGAGGAGTATTGATGAGGCCAAACAGATTACAGTATGTGCTGTAACATGACAAGAAACGCTGTCTGTAGCTGGACGTTTATTGCATCATGTTCCAAAGGGTGAGTCAGTGATGTTTGGGTTCAGCTGAACAGTTCTGTGCTGTTAGTATGCTAAATGCATACAGTGCTAAAGGTTATCAGGGCAAAGTTAAAGTTGTGTCAATATTTGAGAGTTTTACAATATTTGATCAGGAATCAGTTTTTCTTTTGCTACAGTTCTGTTCTGTCAGGTCTTGTTGTTTATTGACTGAAAGTGAAATGAGCTAAAGATCTTGGCCCGGGCATGCAGGCTGGTTGACTGGGTGTGGTGAAGGGTGTGGCGTTGACCAAAAAAATGCAAGAAACTTTATGTGCACTGAAGATGAGCTGCTTGTATGAACTCACCGAGGTACATGTGAAACAACTTAATAATAACAGATAGTGAGCTCGTCTCCAGTTACTGTTTTCACTGCATTGAGTTCTATTTTTATCTTAAAGAGTCCGTGTTATGACTTTTTGGGTTTCCCGTGTGGTTTATTGTGAACGTAACGGTCCAAACCAAAGGGATTTACTCTCTCTGATAGAAAACACTGCTCCCTACCTGCCTGATGCACCCGGTGTGAAGTCCAGATTTTTCATTGTTGCTTATCTATAGTATCGTATAACACATTTGTATGACACATTCCTCGGGACAAGCCCTCAAATAAACAATGAGGAACTTCCTTGCCAATATTTCCTCATCAGAGGAACATAGAAATGTACAGTATGAGGAAAATAAAGTCTTCCTGAGCATAAATGCATGTTTGTTGATGTCAAAAGTACGAGTCTGAACCTGTAAATGTGCGTAACATGGGCTCTTTAAATCTGTTTTACTATCATGAACATGTGTCTACAGTGCAGTTAGCTGATTTTTGTGTGTGTTCTTTCCCTCTGTAGGACCCCTTGGGCAAAGGCCCGTGAGACGTACTTCTGCCGTGGCAAGAACAAGCTCTCTCTGGATGCCATCGAGAAGGCAGCCTTCGTCGTAACCCTCGATGACACCGAGCAGCGCTACGACGAAGCCAACCAAGTCAAGTCTCTGGACAGTTACGCCAAGTCCCTCCTCCATGGGAAATGCTACGACAGGTGGGACACATAAGCTTACATTTCACTGCTGATGTTCAATGAGTGCGTGGCATAAACTCACTGAAGGTGTTCATTCTTTCTTTCAGGTGGTTTGATAAGTCCTTCAATCTGATCGTGTTCAAAAATGGCACCATGGGACTGAATGCGGAGCATTCCTGGGCAGATGCCCCAATTGTTGGCCATCTGTGGGAGGTATGTGAGTGTGGCGAATATATTTCACATCTGTGTGTTATACCAGCGCCAAACTAAATCATGAGGAATATGAGCTATGGGATATGTCCACAGTTTCCCATTCGTTGCCCGTGTGAGCAGCCATGCAGTGCATTCTGGTCGTGTCGCGTTGCATTTTGAGAGATGAGATGTCTCGTTGCCTGACCCTCATTTGCATAAAGTTGAGATCTGGGCTACTTTATGCAAATCAGGAGCGTCCAGCTGCCACTGAACACCTCAGGAACCTCCCAGAAATGGATCTAAAGTGAAAACAGATTCAGCAACTGCACAGTTAACTTTTCTTCTCACATGTCTTCAAAAACACATTGTAGTGAACTGTAATGTAAGAGAAAGATTTCAAACAAGCCACCACGGTGATCCGGTTTGAAACCCAGGAGCTGACAGCCCACTAGGGAGGCATGAGTCCGACCAGGTGCAGCCCATGTTTGTGCAGTTGTAGCTTCATGTTAAGGAACACCTGCCAATCATTTATTGTGACGTTGTGTAGTTGTACGCTTAGTGTCAAACAGAGGGAAGCCCTGTGGACACGTAACATTACAAATAATTAGTCTGACAGCATACCTCTTGTTGGTTGCATGAACAAAACATGTAGAATAAATTCAGCCAGTTTAAGAATCAAACACAGCGCGAAGTGAAATTTAAGACACATACAATAGAAACATGAAGTCACTGAAGGTGAAACTGGACTCTGTTGCAGCACGTTCTCTCCATGGACCCTCTGAAGCTGGGATATAATGACGACGGTCACTGCCGTGGAGCCCCTCATCCCAACCTGCCTGGTCCTCAGAGGCTGCAGTGGGAGATCCCTGCTGAGGTAAGACGGCCGGGAAGGCTCACACACAGTTTGATATTCTCAGACCTTGGCCTCCCTCTGCTGGCAGCAGGAACCATGTGCACCGGTGTATGTGTTTATTTATTTAAACCTGCTGGAAACTGTGTATTTTAAAAAGTGTCGTCTGAAATACCTGGTTTTCGCCTAATGATTGATCTAGAATTGATTAGTCTGACTTTTTCTCAATAAAACGCATGCCAGGCTAGATTTGCTGAGTAAAACACACAACTTTATCTCTCCCTGCAGTGCCAGGAGGTCATCGAGGCCTCTCTGACAGTGGCCAGGACTTTGGCAGATGACGTGGACAGTCACATTTTCCCCTTCAGCGACTTTGGAAAGGGGCTGATTAAGAAGTGCCGCACCAGTCCTGATGCCTTCATCCAGATCGCCCTGCAGCTGGCCCATTACAGAGTAAATACCGTCACCCGAGTAGTTTGTCATGTGAAGGTTTATGTTGCAAAAATGCTATTAAATGATATGTTGTTTTCATATTTAAAACATGAGAGGTTGCAGCACAAACTGATGCTTTTCATTCCCCTTAAGTTCCAGCAGAGGGCAGTCACAACCAGCCAGCCAACATGTTAGTGAAGACAAACACTGGCAATGAATTCACAAATCTGAACATGCTCTATCTGGAGTTTTCTTATTAATTTAGCGGTTTATTTGATTATGCAAAATGCAGAACAGTAGCATTTGCACTTGTTGTTAACTGACATTTAGCTTCAGACAAATCATTTATGTTGGACCTTTGGTAATGAAGGTCTAAGTTTGGGTTCAATGTGGTATTTCTGTTATTTATTCACATAATTTTAAGTGTAAAAGCACCAAAAAAGTCCAAGAAAAATCTGCTGTTCTCTCTGACTGCTCATTACACATTTCTAAAAGAACCTCCTGAGGTCTCTCTTTTTAGTACTGACCTGTACTCCCTCTCAACAGGACAAAGGAAAGTTCTGCCTGACCTACGAAGCCTCCATGACCCGCTTGTTCCGTGAGGGTCGAACAGAAACCGTGCGCTCCTGCACCATCGAGACTTGTGCCTTCGTTCGCGCCATGATCAGAGATGAAACCGTGAGTCTTGAATCCCAGCAACGTGTCGCGCCTCTTAAACGAGTATCACTCCAGATCTAGCTCCTCAACCGTTGGTCACGTTCGTCTTGTTTATTTCTTTCCAATGAACGCAGAGAGAGGAGCGTCTCAAGCTGCTCAAACAGGCGGCAGAGAAACACCAAAACATGTATCGCTTGGCAATGACCGGAGACGGCATCGACCGCCACCTCTTCTGCCTCTACGTGGTGTCCAAATATCTGGGAGAGGACTCAGCCTTCCTGAAGGAGGTATTGTGGCAACTTGCTGCGGAACCGGCGCTCTTAAAGCTGTCAAAATGACTCTCGTAAATCCCGTTCACTCATGTGATACGCAATATGAAGCAGCACGGTGTTTTGTTCTTTATTTACAATAAGTGACATCTGCTTACTTGCTGATACAAAGATGAAAACAACAAAATGCATCGAGTTATAAACAAGCATAACTGGGACATAGGATGTGTTTGCATTGACCGTGTGTAACCTTTAATGTTTAGGTCCTGTCTGAGCCGTGGAGGCTGTCCACCAGCCAGACTCCTCTGCAGCAGGTCGAGCTGTTCGACCTGGTCAGACACCCAGAATACGTGTCCTCCGGAGGTGGATTCGGTCCAGTAAGTCATCCATCAGCTTTGATATTAACTTTGCGGTGCAGCCGTCCTGCAACCAGTGAAAGTAAAATCATTAAATGTTTTCTGCGTCAGTCGAATATTTGTTTCATCTTCTTCTTCGTCTTTAAACCATCTGTATGTACATATCAGAAAACTCACACTTTAGAAAATACTTTTTGAAGCATGGGAGCTCGATGGTTAGCTAGAAGGTCGCCGGTTCGTGTCCCGGTGAGGACACCCGGGATCTTTCTGCGTGGAGTCTCCATGTTCTCCTCGTGTAGCATGGGTTCTCTCCGGGTTCTCCGGCTTCCTCCCACACAGTCCAAAAACATGTTGAGGTTAATTGGTGATAAATTGTCCGTAGGTGTGAATGTGAGTGTGCTTGGTTGTCTGTCTCTAAGTGTAGCCCTGTGATAGACTGGTTACCTGTCCAGGTGAACCTGCCTTCACCCTGAGTCAGCTGGGATAGACTCCAGCCCCCCTAGTGAGGATTAAGTTGTGTATAGATGATGGATGGATGGGTAAAGTTGAGGCTGCTGGTGAGCTTGAACTTTTGTCTCTTTCTCTGTCTACAGGTGGCTGATGATGGTTATGGTGTCTCCTACATCATCGTTGGGGAGAACCTCATCAACTTCCACATCTCCAGCAAACACTCAAGTCCAGAAACTGTAAGTTTTTCCTTTTTTACAGCTAATTCTAATTCCTCTTTTTCCATTAAGAATCTGTCTGCAAATCCTTCTTTTTGCTTTCTATCAGGACTCCCATCGTTTTGGCGGCAACATCAGACAGTCCATGTTGGACATTCTGGATCTCTTCCAGCTCGACAAGAAAGACAAGTGATGGTCCTGCTTATTGGTGGATAAACATAAGAAACTGTTTTAGTAAAGCATATATTCTTCCTGAAGCTTGTACAGAATCAACCGTTGGATTTTGGGGTTTTATTTTTAAGTTAATTGATGTTACAGAAATAAGAATGATTGAAAGGTGTTTGGAAACATTGCTGTCGATACGTTTGTCAGGCGCTTACGTGTACTGTATGTTTAGGCAAGGCGAGAGTCCGGTGGTGTTGGTTACAGGTAGTGCACAGATCAAAGTTTTTATTCACAGGACTGTATGCATCGGTGCCTTAGTGACCCACTAATGTAAAAAAAACAAAAACAACACAAAAAAAAAAAGGGCAGAAAGGGAGGAAAGGGTTTGGGATCAAGTGTGTGTCAGCACAGTGGAAGACATTTCAGCTGAAGGTTTGTTCAGTAGCATCATCTGATATTTGAATCATGTTTTAAGTTGTGAGATGGTGCAATATTTTTACTTTGTTAGGTTCTGTCCTCATCCTTTATCGCCTCCGACCGCAGCTCCAGAGTCACATGTAACTGAGCAAAGCAGCAAACTTGATGTTAAATATTATCGACGAATTGCATGTTGCAGAGTGTCCGTTGATTTCACATGGATTCTGTCGGCTGCCGAGCTGCATCCCGTAAAACTTACACTTGAAGACAGTTTGTGTGTAACAACCAAGAATGATAAATATCCAGCTTCGATTTGAAAGGCGACCCTGCGTCGGGGAGTCGTTTGCTACTGTCCAATCAAAGGATCTCCATTGCCTTTCTGATTCAAGTGCACAGCCGGCGTCGTGTTTGTTCAATTTTTAGCTGCTATGATTTTACGATGTAGCGACGAAGGCAGATGACAGATGTGTGTGTGCCTGTGTGTGTGTGTGTGTGTGTGTCGTTTTCATACTCAGGTTTTCGCTAACTTGGCCTGGTATCGTAGGGTGCTGGCTGCAGCATTGAAAAAATTAGCGCTTATGCTGGCATGTACATGTGCAACAGTAGACGAAGTTGAAATGCAGTAACAATGCCATGTGACCCCAATGAGCTGGTGGGTTGTTAGCATGACGTTTGCCGTGGACGTGACGACTGGCTGGACGGGGTGTGTGTCTGGGGTAGTAGTGTGTTTTCTGTTTGTTGAATTAAAAAAATAATAATACAAAAAAAATAAATATAGCTACGTAAGCGCTGTTGTGCACTCCATGACTGGCCCTATAGTTCAAACTAACGTGTTCATAACTACCTTGGTAGCCTTTGTGTCACATCGAGATGAATTGTAAACATTTGTGAGCAGCCTGTCGGGTTGCCGGTCACAGCGAAGTGGTGTTGCAGCTGTCGTTGCCTAGTCAAGATGAGGTGCCGTATCGTGGGTTGTTGGTCTCACCAGTACAGTACGAAAAAAAAATAAAGAAATCATTGTTTCTCTTGTAGGTAAGAAGGGCGGTTATCGAGTGGTGGTCATGCGTAGGAATGCTTTTTTTTTTTAATGTATATGTTGTCATCATATTTATTTTTTCTCTGGATTTTAACCGATTTATTCACACACAGCGTTGCATATTTACCGGCTGAATGTGGTTGAATAATACGCACTACGTTAAAGCTTTGCTAATTTAAAACGGACAAAAGATGCTTCCTTCTTCTCTCTTCTTCTTTCTTTTTTTTTTTTTGTTTCCTTTGGACTTGACAGTTTTGTTTTCACAGACTTCTCTGCCAGTACGTTGTAGTTGTATGACTTTTTATCTCGGTAGACCTCATGTTTACACTGCTGCATGTTGTTTTATTTGTTTTTGAAGATGAAGCTGTATATGTTTGCCTTTAATTTAAAGATGTGTAAAAAAAACAAACAAAAAAAAGACAAGCAGCTGATATACCAAACCAAGTTTTAACAATAAAGTGAATGTCATACAGCTGCGTCACCTCCGTGTTCGTCACCTCTTATTTACCGTGTGTTCTTTTTATCGCTTGGAATATTTAGAAACGTGTTTTATTCACCACCAGCTATAGTGTTGACTGTTTACATTAAAATGTACAGATTGAACTTTTAGATAAATTTGAA